TAATAACATAATTAACATGCATGCCGCGCGTGCAATGCAGGTGCACAAGAAGCTGGCCATAGACGGGAGCATCGACGGCGCGGTGGCCGGGGAGGTGTACGAGACGGCGGTGGCGGATGGCGCCGGATTTGCGGACACCGAGGCGGCCAAGGCCTTCTTCCAGAGGCTGGATCAACAGCTCAACAAGGTCAACCGGTTCTACGAGCGGAAGGAGGGAGAGTTCCTGGAGCGCGGCGAGTCACTCAGGCGGCAGCTGCAGATCCTCGTCGACCTCAAGGCTGCCATCACCCAGCAGCAGCAGGCACAGGCACGGCGCGGGGGCGACTCCAGAGGGAGCGCCGACACGGATGATCATGATCCCTCCGTTTCTTGCTCCATCCAGCTTGGTGAGACCATGTCCTGTTGCTGTTGCTGTTCCTGTTCCTTTATGCCAATTACTTATTATAAGCCAGCTGATGAAACAATATTACCTTTTTCCTTCGTATAAGATAGTCCTGTTGCCTTTCTTGGATTGACTGCTACACACTGATCCTGGCATAGCATCTCAAAAATTACAGGAGGCCAATCTCTTAGGGAGATTGCAGAGAAAGAACAAGAGTGTGAAGGAAAACTCAACGACGACGTTACTGTCAAAAGCGCTGACGAAGGACCTGAGGACCAGCACTCCGTCTCTCAAGGTCTTAGTGAGTCAGGGAGACTTGGCAAGCCGAATGAAGAAGTTACGAGCAAGCTGAGGACACTCTCAGGGAGGGTGGTCACCTGCCACGGCAGGAATGTGAGGATCAACATCCCAGTCACCACGCCTTCCAGGACTGTCACTGCCATACGCGAACTGCTGTTTGAGGACATGCTGAGCCAATCAAAGAAGATTGGCACACATGGTACCGATGGCAATGAGAAGCTGAGCATCAACAAGAGGAAGGTGCACCAGGCAGAGAAGATGATCAGAGGTGCTCTCGTTGAGCTATACAAAGGATTGGGTTACCTCAAGACATACCGGTATGCATACTTGATTTTGCAATATGGCTTGTACTTCCAACTTTTTCTTAAGTGGATACTGACAAGGATAGCATGTTTGTTGCAGGAGCTTGAACATGATGGCCTTTGTGAAGATCCTGAAGAAATTTGACAAGGTTTCTGCTCATATCTGTTGCTCTCTTTTGATGGTGCCATATCCTGAAATTTATCTCATATAAGCAATTCTGATGACAGAAGCTATATTTTCGTGTTTCAGGTTACAGCAAAGGAAGTGCAGCAAATTTACCTCAAAGTAGTGGAGAGCTCCTACTACAATAGCTCTGACAAGGTATTTTGTAACAATGAAGCAATTCTGAGGTGCTTTCAATAATTTCCTTCTAAGCTCCAAAATTCCTGACTGCAATTTTCATCTTAACAGGCAGTCAGGCTCATGGACGATGTCGAGGAGCTGTTTTTGAGACATTTCACAGATGGTGACAAACGGAAAGCAATGGTGTATCTGAAGCCAAATCAGAGGGAAGAATCACATTGTACTACGTTTTTCATTGGTAATAATTTTTAATAAGGTTTTCATTCCTTCATCACCATAGATTTCCGATCTTTAAACAGACCTATAAAATTTCCAGGATTATTCACTGGCGGCTTCATAGCATTATTCATAGGTTACTGTATCATGGCACGCATTGCTGGAATGTACACTCAGCAGTCAAACAAGGTGTACATGTCAACATCTTATCCTGTTCTTAGGTGAGCACTCAAAATGCCAATTCAGTTGCCACTGTGCAGTTCCTGAAAAAGAAAAACTACTGCAATTCAGGCATGCCATTGCTGATAATATTTGATCCCAACCTGCAGCATGTTCAGCCTCTTCTTTCTGCATCTCTTCCTCTATGGATGTAACATTTTCATGTGGAGAAAGACACACATAAACTACACATTCATATTTGAATTCACGCCTACTAAAGAGCTCAAGTACCGAGACGTGTTCTTGATATGCACTACTTCCATGGCAATTGTTGTTGGTGTAATGTTTGCGCACCTGACAATAATTGTTAAAGGAAATTCATCAAGTGCAGTCCAAGCAATACCAGGGTCCCTACTTCTGGTATGCACTATTGAACTTAACAAATTTGTTCATAATTACATATGAAAATTTGTGACCTTATAAGGTGCTCCCTCTATTCAGGTGTTCTTGTTGATATTAGTCTGCCCTTTCAACATCATCTACCAATCAAGTCGTTACCAATTCCTTAGAGTTATCAGAAACATCATTCTGACACCCTTTTACAAGGCAAGTTTCTTAAGCACAATTGTTTAAGATGTGTTCTAAACTTCCAATTAAATCAAAAGGGAACAAGCTAGTAAGTTTTTTGTATATATGCAGGTTGTCATGGTTGATTTCTTCATGGCTGATCAGCTCTGCAGCCAGGTAATAATTTAATTAAATACTAAAGATTGGTCAAGTTCACTTAGGCAAACTTAAGCTATTCCCTACAAATCATAATGCTCAGAAGTATGTATTTTTAATATAAACTGAAGAGGACTTATAAAAGTGGTTCTCCTACCATAAATACTTATCTGAGTTACAACTCGATAGGCTACTACATACTTGAGCATAAATGATTGTATTGGTATCAAAATGACTAAGCATGTAATGACTTCTGACAAACAGGTACCAGTGCTCAGGAGCCTGGAGTATTTGGCATGTTACTACATAACAGGCAGCTACATGACACAAGACTATGGCTACTGCACAAGAGTTAAACACTTTAGAGACCTCGCTTATGCAGTATCCTTCCTGCCTTATTACTGGAGAGCCATGCAGGTATATAACCCCTCAGTACCACTCACCACGAAATAATAATGTTATTTTGGACATTGACATGCTCTCCAAAAATTTATATTCAAATAAATAATTTAATTGTAGTGTAACAATAGAACCGAATGATATATAATATTATTACAGTACTTCTGGAGATACATCTTCTACTTATATGATTCTCATGTTTTAAACATGAAAATTTAGAAACATATCAATAGTCATGGTTTCAAACTGTACTTATTTCAAAAACAACTTTTTCCATCTGGAGGTAGTAAGATTGAACATGACGACATGATAGTGTCCCTTCTTTTTTTGTCCCTTCTAAAGGCTATTTCTAAGCTAGTGGTACCTTTCTTTACTGTTATCCTACAGTGCGCACGGAGATGGTTTGATGAAGGGGATATAAACCACATTGTCAACCTTGGGAAGTATGTGTCAGCCATGCTTGCTGCAGGAACAAAGGTGGCATATGAGAATAACAATAGTACTGGGTGGCTGTCACTTGTTATCATTGTACCAAGTATTGCAACTATCTACCAACTGTACTGGGACTTTGTCAAGGACTGGGGTCTTCTACAGTTCAACTCCAAGAATACCTGGCTTCGTAATGATTTGATACTTAAACAAAAATACATTTATTTCGTATCCATGGTGCGTTTTCAAATCATTAAGCTCTGCATCAAGATTTCCAAAGAAAAAATAGATAGTTCACTTATAGAGACTCACATATTTTACAGGGTCTGAACCTTGTCTTGAGGCTTGCTTGGCTTCAGACTGTCATCCACCCTAATATTGGAAGCCTGGATTCTAGAGTAACTCTGTTCTTTTTAGCAGCACTTGAAGTGATACGACGAGGTCAATGGAACTTCTACAGGTAAATGCTTTTAGAAAATCAAGCTATAAATGGGAACTTTTCAATTTGATATAAACATGAATGTCACACTAAAGAACTATAAACTTTTATGTCAGGCTGGAGAATGAACACCTAAACAATGCAGGGAAGTTCAGAGCAGTGAAGGTTGTTCCACTTCCTTTTCATGAAGTGGAAGAGGACTAACAAAATAGAGCCGCCACTGGAGCAGTTTGTAGGTGTTAAGAATACAAACAGTTCGTATGTAACACCAACTAATGCTAGAAAGCATGCACTACACTACCATTAATAAGATTCATTTTTGGTATGAGCAATAAAGGCCATTCCGCATTGTCAGTATGGACAAGTTGTATGGGAGCAATAGGCACTTACATAGAATGTAGAGTTCCTATAAGTTCCCCAACATTGTTAGAAAACTCAAGCAATATAAAGCAGCAGCTCAGCTCTACAGATGTTCCTTTGCTCCTCATCAATTTTGTGTTGTGCCCGTCATGCATAAATTACCTCTAAAGAGGTTTGTGATCATTTTGCAAAAAATGAAATTTCTTTATAAGCCACTTAGAAGGTACAATAGACACTAGCAGAATAGCAATGTCACTGAACTCTTGTGATCTCAATAATGAACTTCACAACTTGGAATTTAAGAATTGCAAGGATCTACAGAATCCTGGTAAAGAGTCATATTGGCATTGTGCAATGACCTCACTTTCAGCTCTCACTCATGTATGCCATGTCTCTACCATGTCATTTGATGTGCAAAAGTGTATGCATGCATATCTGGTCCAAAGCATAGAAAATTATAGTTAATTTAGGAATCGCAAAGCATACTGATAAAGAGCTGGACTGTGCTCATACTAACCTCCCACAGCAGGTGAACATAAAAAACTTAAACCTAGATGTAGATTTTGTTTGTATCCACTGACGAGACGTCTCTGTATTTCCAACATCAATGTAAATTTTGGCTGACAATAGATAAGTATCAATATACTTTCCAACTGCAGCGCCCTATGTACAGCTTACAACATTGGCAGCATCGTACAGCATCACAAATTTAAAGAAAGATAATCAATGAAAGTTTGCAACCGTATTCCACACCATAGAAAGGATAATAATCTGCCCTTTGCACCACATCATATATTTTCTTCGATGATGATCTGACATAGGTCAGTTCTATTCGATGCATGACATTGAGACCATGGTTTGCTTGCATTCATCGATATCTTTTGTTCTGCTTGTCGATTTCTTATGATTCAGGGCACTACGCTTCACTGCAACCATGGAGAGTAACAGACCCCTAGTCTTTCGGAAAAGAAGCATTATCAACTAACATTACGTCACTCCAATTTGTAATGCATTGAATATATTCTCTGATAATTCTTGTGCATCAATCCAACTCCTTCCAGTATCCTTTCTTGCTTGCTGGGTATCGAATACAGTGCGATTCCAGCATTTCTCATCCCACATGTCAACTGAAGCATGAATGCTTGATAATGTAATGTATGCTGAATAATCATGTGGTGTAATTTCCAGAATCTTCTTAGCTGCTATTCTTCCTAACCCCAAATTTCCGTGAACCTTACATGAAGCTAGCAAAGCTTCCCACAATATTTGGTCTGGTTCATAAGGCATTGCATCAATGAAGTCCATTGCATCACAAAATCTTCCAGCACGGGCAAGTAGATCAACCATGCAGGTATAATGAACCATCTTGGGCTCCAAGTTGTATTTTGCCTTCATTTCATTGAAGTACTCACAGCCCTCTTTTACAAGGCCCATTCGGCTGCAAGATGATAGCAGGCCAACAAAAGTATAATCATCTGGGCAGACCTCATCTTCTTGCATCAGATCAAAAAGCTGAATGGCTGCCACCTCATTGCCATGCTGTGAAAAACTTGTGAGTAATGCATTCCAAGTGACGATGTCTCTATTACTCATTGAGTTAAATATCTTCAAGGCAACCTGAACACTTCCACAATTAGCATAAAAGGTTACGAGTGCATTCTCTACAGAATTATCATCATCAATACCTAGCTTCACAGTCCTTGAATGGATTTGCAATCCAACAGCAAGATTTGAGGTGCTAGAACAGGCTCGTAGCACACTAGTCATGCAAAATACTGGAGACCCTAACCCTCTCCGGAGCATTTCCCTAAAGAACAAGAGTACCTCTTCATCAAGACCATTCTGAGCGTAGCAAGTTAACAATGCCGTCCATGATATGATGTCCTTTTCCTCCACTAGATTAAATACAGTTTCAGCACTAGTGGTATCACCACATCTGCCATAAACAGTGATGGTAGCATTCAGTAGTAAAGTATCCAACTTGAAGAAGGTTTTTAAAGCATAACAATGTACCTCCCGAACCATTCTCAGTTGTCCAACAGATGAACAAACCTGCAGCAGACAAGTCATAGCTGACTGGTCAATTGCCATATTTGTCAAGATCATCTCCTTGAAAACACCAATTGCCTCTGCATTGTATCCATTACGAGCATAAGCTCCAAGCAGGGAAGTCCATGAAAACACATCATGCCTTATACGACAAGCCAACCTAGCTATCTCATCAACTCCGCCACATCTGCCATACATCGTCATCAAGGCACTCCCCAAAGCAGTGTCAACCTCAGTCCCCATCTTCAGCAAGCAGCCATGAATTTGCATTCCAACGGATAGCAACTCAGGCGTATCGAACACTTTCAGGATGCAAGAAAACGTCGCATTGGTAGGCCAAACTTTTAATGCCAGCATTTTCTTGAACAGCAGAATTGCTGCGTCATAGTAACCTGACGAACCTTGGTTGACCAGACAGGCAATCATGCTCGTCCAACTCAGGACGCTCCGCTGCGGTGCGAGCGTGAAGGCCCGCCACGACGAGTCCACCCACCCGCACTTGGCGTACATGTCCACCAACGCCGCCGCGACGCTCTCATCCTCGTCGACGCCGAACTTGGCCGCACAAGCGTGCACCTGCACGCCAGCGTCGACGTCTCTGGCGCGGGAGCACCCAGCTACCAAGGCCCCTAGCGTGAACGAGTCCGGGCGGTCCCAGCTTCCCTGCCCCGCGCCGTGAAGCATGTGGGAGAACAACGCGAACGCATCCGCGAGGACGCCGTGGCGGGCGGAGCCGGAGATGACGACGGACCAGGACACGAGGTTGCGGCGGGGCATTTCGTCGAACAGCCTGCGGGCGTCCGCGGGGACGGAGCGGCTGAGGTAGGCATGAAGAAGATTGTTGCAGAGGAAGGTGGAGGCAATGCAGCCAAGCTTGATGGTCACGCCGTGGACAGAGTGAGGATGGCCGCCGCTGCGAAGGAAGGCGGCGAGGGGGTCGCGCATTGGTACCTGGCATCGGCCGCACGCGCGGCTGTGGGGGCTGCCTGTTTTCTAGTACTAGTATTTTCTTTTCGCTGCTCCACTCGATGGCCCACCTCTCGACGGGACTCCCTCCGTCCCAAGATAACAGGGTCCGCAACAGTGCTAGCTTATATCTCCTGCAACTAAAAAAAACTAAAAGTAAAACTATTTTTTTTCGACTTTTTTTTTGTCGCTTCTTCCTTCTGGCCATACGATACCCCCACGATAGAAAAAGAAAACTACCATCTCTGATCCCCGTCTATTTTGAAGGAAACAAATCGATCACCTGAGACACATGCATGGAAGGAAACAATAATCATACATGGAAGAAAACAATGGACAAAGATCAAGCAAGACTCCTCCCTTCCGGCCATACAATACTCCACGCGATAGAAAAAGAAATTAACATCCCTACGATCCCCGCCTACTTTGAAGAAAACAAATCGATCACCTGAGGCCACATACATGGAAGGAAACAATAATCATGCATGGAAGGAAACAATTGGCAAAGATCAAGCAAGACGACTCAATGAGATTGGCCCTTAATTTTAGTGTTTCCAGCCCTTCCGGCCATACGATACCCCGCGCGATAGAAAAAGAAAATGTCATCCCTGCAATCCCCGCCTGCTTTGAAGAAAATAAATCTATCACCTGAGGCCACATGCATGGGAGAAAACAATAATCATGCATGAAATGAAACAATTGACAAAGATCAAGCAAAACTCCTCCCTTCTAGCCATGCAATATCCCGCGCAGATAGAAAAAGAAACTGTCATCCCTACGATCCCCGTCTACTTTGAAAGAAACAAATCGATCACCTGAGACCACATGCATGAAAGAAAACAATAATCATGTATGGAAGGAAATAATTATCAAAAATCAAGTAAGACGACTCAATAAGGTTGGTCATTAATTTTAGTGTTTCCAGCATCCAGACTTGAAATAAAAAGTGGCTGCTCCTTGAGAACATCAATTGTGCCAAATAAAAGATGTGCAGATTATACATGGTGAGACTGGTGAACCTTCTGCAATTTTCTAAACGAATATTCCCACCATTCATATATAGGTCTATTCTCCTGCGTTTCTTCGTGCTCCAATTAGCATATAATATAAAAGTATTGTTGTGTTCATCACGACTTCCAGTTGACTACTCTCATTAGCATATACTTCCTCTGCCCTAAAATATAAGTCGTTATGGGATGTGTGCAGGTCAAACTTTTCCAACTTTGACTAGGTTTGTAAAAAATACGTGCAACATTTATATCTCCAAATAAGTTTATTATGAAAGTATATTCAATGGTCTATGTAATAATACTAATTATGTATTATAAATATTAATATTCTTTTATATATAATTGGTCGAAGTTAAAAAAAAGTTGACTTCTCGGGAAGCGAGAATGAATTCTATTTTGGGACAGATGTAGTATATAAAAACAGTGTTAGAAAATATTTTAACAATCAAGTTCATCTCTGTCTGATTGGTAAGCTTAGACATCATAATGGCATCAAAAATTTCGACTCTCATGGACACCTTCATGGATCAGTGCAAAGCATCCTAATCCTACAATATACACAAATAACAACCTTAAAGTTATGATATTTTTAAAGGGTGGACAATAAAGACCATCTTAGACGTTCTGGCATTAGAGTATATATGTGCAGACACATAGGCATGATGGTGCAAGTGAGCAGCTAACAGGAGTCGAGAGTTAGAGGGTGTTTGATCCCAGGACTAAATTTTAGTCCTTGTCATATTGATTTTTTAGATATCAATTAGGAGGACTAAACATGAGCTAATTATAAGACTAATTATATAAGTTGTGGCTAATTCGCTTGCCAGTGTCGTATACAGAATGGTATGGAGATGTGGTGGAACTTATTCGTGGATTTATTGGCGCACGAAAGAAATGGATATCGGAAATCTCTTCCTACCGGTATAAAAATGATCTTAGCCGCATCACGGAAAGATCTACACAATAGAGTTTGTGAGTCTGCGATACCATACTCTCTGTGACTGGATAAATTTCATGAACTTAGCTTTTTGGATTAAATATCACTTTAACGTCGGTCATATACTTTTACAGTATTGTTATCTTATCGTGCGATCCATGTGTTTTTAGTACAAAAGTTTAGCTGTCCCGTAGCAACACATGGGCACGAACCTATTTACATATATACTCGAACCTATGTGTACATGATTATATAGAGATGCAGTGAAACTTATTCATAGATTTATTGGCGTATGAAAGAAATGGATATCGTAGAATTCTTTCTGCCGATATAAAATATTATTTTAGTCATATCACAAAAAAGTCTATACAGTAGAGTTTGTGAGCCTGCGACGTCGCGCTCTCCGTGACTGTTAATTTCATAAACTTTGCTTTTTGAATTAAATGTCACTTTGATGTCAGTATTTAATTTAACAGTATTATTATCTTATCGTGCGATCCGTGTGTTTTTAGTACAAAAGATTTAGTTGTCCCGTAGCAACGCACGGGCACGCTCACCTAGTGGAGATAAAATAGAAAAGCAAAGGCTATTTTATACATTTTTATTTTTTATGTACTATTGAACCCACATATTTCTTTCTCAGATTTTTAGACTACGTGATATAGATCAGCTATTTATTACTCTCTCCTACTTTTTCTCTATTCACGTCAAAATAGCTAGCCAAATAGCTACCTTTTGGGACGCCCTAAAGCATAACCACCTCTGGTTGAAAGATCAAGGAACATTAATTCTCTCTCAATACTAATATTACTACATCGATATATGTGTGTCTAGAGAGAACACGCAACGTGTGTCTAGAGAGAACATGTCTTATATTATGGGATTTGTAAAAGAATGATTACATCTTATATATTAGGATAGAGTGAATAATGGGTAAACGATGGGTTCACCACTCACCCATCATAATTTTTATACCCTAGAAAAAAAAACTCTTATGTCTACTTCACTGTCGAACTTAAAATCTTTTTAATTTGTCAACTCTCTTATTTTTTTTCTTTCCCACTATTTAACACTTCTCTTACTTTAGATTGGTATAAGGGTGTTAGGTCCTAAAGAAAAAGACCGTTTATCCCTAAAAAATACTAAATAAAATAAATAGTTTATATTTTTTCAAAAAATTCTAGAATTTAATTAAGTTACAAACAAATCTCTACACCTAAAAAGATTGTAAAGTAATCATCTACTGATAATACCAAAAATTGTATACTATCCAATCACCGTTCTCCGCACTAGAAATCCAAAGTCCGCACGCCTCCATGTCACGTCTGAAATCCAAAAGCACTATACAAAGTCCGTGTCGGAGCCAATTCTACAGAGTTCGCATCAGGGACGGTCGATAGCATCAGATCTATCTACACCTAACAAGGTTCAAAGGGGCTCTGAATCCTAAAAAATCTCCTCTCCGTTAAAAAAAGTAATAAAAAAAGTAAAAGCTCTACCCACAGGGAGACCGAACGAAATAAAAAATGACAGATCTCTATACGAATCTAAAAAATCTAAAAACCAATCGTCACATCTCTGGCAAAAAAAAAGTAATCTACTAGATTTAAAATTTACCAACTAAATTGGTGAGAGTAGTATATTTCTGTGATTTTAGGTACGGGTAATAAATTTTATAAAAGTTGAATGAATATTTACACTTAAGAAGATTGTAACGTCGTCATCTACCCGATAATACCAAGTCTCGATCCCTACTTATATGTCTGCATCTGATACGAATCATCCTTCTACTCAGAGCTCACGTGTTCGTGTTCAATACGAAGTTCTCGGAGCTCAAACTCCGCATCCTATTATTGAGGTTCAGTTAAAAGAAATTGTGACCCAGGTGCAACGCACGAGCATATATCTAGTTAAACAATGAAATATGTGAATTTCTAATTTTTTTGAAACTTAAATTTAATTGTTTTGTTGCATTATTTTTTGGATGCACCTGGTACTTATGCGTCTAAAAATTTTTAAAACATGTTTGGGAATTTTTTAAAAGAAAATTACAATATTCGAGGTTAAAAAGCAATCTCTAGATTTTCTACAATTGTTTTTGCACTAAAAATTTGTTTCAAAAATTAAAAATTATAAAAAAGGAACCTAAACACTATCTCTATATATACTAGTATATTGCCCGTGCTAATGCTACGGGATATTTTATAATGCAAATCAAACAAGCAAAAGGCAAGTCATATCTTGATATTCAAGTATAGAATGAGATATTAAGATTCATAGTAGACATGGACATGCGACCTGCACGTGTGTCTATCAAATAAAAGAATTTATTAATGGATAAGATAATAACAAGAAAATTGACAAGTCAATACATGAAAATTAGAATATGTCTTTAAAAAATCATTCTATTATGAAAATTCAGATCTCCTACATAATCATTAATTATTTTGTAGGTCCTAACTAAATTAGCAACATTGCCACATCTACTAATCCCCACTTTTCATCACCTTAGTGTATTAACCATCACACCAGTAACCAAACCACATGAAAGCTATACAGTACAGACAACCTGATTGATGTAGCACGTTTGCATCTGAGAAGTACATAGACATCAATACTCAAGAGCCGAGTACCTGTACAAGAGTAGTTTGTTAGCCAGTTTACATCTGGTGTTAGCTAATATAACAACTACCTGAAGCAAATAATGTGTTATAGAGAACAATCCTTGGTAACAAAAATAAATTTTTCTTACTTCTTAAATGGTATTGACATATTGGCAAATAACTTAGCATTGTGCTTTCTGCAGTAACAAAAACAAATTGCAAAAGAAAGATAAAATTATTACAAACATTGGTGGCTAGCTGCCTAGGAGCCTTTCCCTCCAATGAAATTGCTAGATGTTTGCTTAGTCATGGATAGGCATGACTTCTGTCACACAGTAAAGAACCACCTTTCAAATATATTAAAAACAAACCTGCAATACAGGAAAGCATTTTCAATCAATCAAAAGATCAGAAGACCCTCACGAACAA